GCTAGTACTGGGAGTAGAACTGAGGCCTTCTCCCATGTGGGATACAGGTGCTTTGTCCAGGACCTGAACCTCCAGGTTCAGAAAGAGCTGTAAAGAGGAAGAGACAGAAATGTGCCTTCCATAAGTTCACTTTCCCAGCATAACGGGCAGCAGGTCAGCAGCAGGCAGTTCAGAAGCGGACAAAGGGTTCACAATTCTGGGTCCAAAGGGATGCCAATGTCACAGATGGCAGCTTTACCATGTACACCACAACCCTGCGCCATTTGAATTGTTCTTTATCCCCCTTTAGAAGGGGCATCTCTTAGAAAGCTTGTGGAGCCTTGGCCTCCCCTGTGGGTGGAGGGCAGTAGCGTGCCAACAGAATTCTTTGTGTAGTACGGTTGTGGCTTCAGCATCTTATTATTGAGAGAAACTTGCCTCTCTTAAATAACAGAGGGAAGGATATTAAAATGCAGGTTTGTGATAAAATAAGACTTGGCCCAGGGTGACCCATGTGTACACGCAGGTGTCCAGGTGTCACAGCCTTGGTAATTAATTTCTCCCTGCCCCAAGTCACTCCATCCATAATAGGCTGTGATACTGATAGCATCTATCCCAGAAGCCATGGATGTGAAGTTTTAAAAAGTGTTTTAAACATACCCAGCCCTGTGCCTGTCACATATGAGGGCTGTGATACATGGTGGTTCCCACTTCTTCTCAGGATCTACTCTGTTCCTTAGCCCCCCCAGGGCAGTTCAAAAAGTAATGGCTGGCAGTGAAGGGGACTGCTCGATGGAAGAGAACAGGGTTAATTAACTTTGCCCAAGAAATGAGTTCCTGAAAAGAATAGGTATAGACTTAGCCTTTAGAAATGGAGTTCTTCTTTTTTTTTAATAGATTGTTTTGTGCCAAGTTAATGGTCACCCTTTCATGTACGTACTATGTATCTATGGGACCTGAAGTTCTTAAGACACCCATGCTTGACTTCTCATCCCTCTCTCTTCCTGGTATCAACGAGCAGGGTTTAATAACTGTGTTTCTGAAGAGTGCAGTGAGGATGACTTTAAACTAAGCAGGCTTCCAGCCTTCCTATGATAACTCTCCTTGTAAAAACATGGAATTCCATGCCCTGAAGTCCCTTGGGAGTGGCGGGGGGCGGGGAGCGGAGAGTTGGGATTCAGAGAACACCAGGCAAAAATATTTTCTCCAAGACGTGACGATACAACTCGTGAGGAAGAGAGGAAAGACCCGGTGGACTGGAATTCATGTGGGATTCCTGGGGAGGGAGTAAATGTATCTGGGAAACTGAAGATGACTTCCTGGAACAAAATGAGGCAGAGAAAGGTTTGCTTGCTTTCAGAATGTTTTCACATATTCTGCGTTAGCAGCATAATACAAAGAAATGGCCCTAACAAGAAACAGGGTTGTCTTCTTCCCAGGCGACAGTGTCTCAGGAACCTTTGCCTGAGAACTCCATCCGTGTGCCCAGGTTGATCACAGCCTCCTTAGTAAGGCTTTGTTAACTGAACACACCTGACAGCATTTGAGTATCTTTGTTGCCTTCCCGCCCCTCCTGCTGCTTCGTGGGATCCAAGTGGGGATTTGAGCACGCAAATTTCAGCAGACAACTGAAAGCTCCCTGCAGACAGGGACTACTAGGTGGCTCCTCACCTCCTCAGAGCTTAGCTGAGACCCTGAAGGCGCATTCCATAAGCCTTTGTGAGGTGGGTGTGTGTGTGGGGGAGGGGGGGATGCCCCTGGAGTGTCCTCAGAACTCACAAGCAGCCTGCAGTTGTGAGAAGAGGTTCTATGAAGAGGCAGGGCTGTCGTGGGCTTGCAAGAATTCTGCAGCCCCTGGGGTGCCAGACGTCAATTTCACCTCCTGGTCCAACCCTTCTTAGGAGGATGTAAAATCGCCTTTCTACTCCAGCCAGAGGGCACTGGTGCGTCCTTGCGCCCCCCTGCGGGGACCCCTCGCGACAAGTGGCAAGGGTAGGTAACCGAGAGGGGGGAGCCAGTCAGCACGTGCAGCCGCCCAGGGGAGGAGGAGGCTGGGCTCACGCAACCCTTAGTCAGCAGCTGAGCTCGGTTTTGAAACAAAAGCCAATGTCCTCCCTCCGAGTCCGCGGCCGGTCAGCTCCTAGGGGGAAGAAAGCCATGCTTCCCAGCCGGTTAGTGGCCCAACTTACTTTTCCAGAGCCTGGGACAAAGGGCCAGCAATTGTACGGGAGCGGGTGGGTTGTTGGGCATGGGGGGACGAGGGGGCACGGATGTCTGAACCCACTCCTTCGCGGCGGCGTGGGAGAAGGGCCGGGGTCTCCCCTGCGCTGCGCAGGGTTGTCCCGGGCGATGCTGCGAGCCCGTATCCCCTTAGGCGTGCGTAAAGCTGAGGCACCTTTGCCACCGCGCCCCAAAGCACAGACACACCAGGCCCCGGTTTCATGAATGAAATCCAATCGTGAAGATATAAATAGCCGAGAAGGCTGCTAACGTCACAGTGCGAGCGGCGGCCGCCAGCTCGTCGGAGCTGGGTGCCGGGTGCTGGGTTCCGCCCGGCCGCCCCGCCTGGGAGCGGGTGGGGGCCGGAGGGGGCGGGAGGAGGCCGGGCCGGCGGGTGGAAGGGGCGAGCCCCTCGCCCGGGCGGGGAAGCGCGGCCGCAGCGTGGGCGAGCCGACTAGGCGAGGCCGTGCCATGCTGCCTTTGTGCAAAGTTGGGCGGCGGGCGGCGCGCCGCGCGCTGGGGCCCCGCACACTCGCGACCGCGCGCAGCCGTGGCTGCTGCTGAGTGGCGGGGCCCCGCTCCCCCCGGCCCTTGAAGGCGGAGAGAGCTCACGTCTCGCTCGGCTGCAGGGTAGGTTCTGTGTTGTGAATGCGCCGCGGTACGAAACTTCTCTGAGCAGCCTCCGGGAGCCCCACCGCCCCGGCCCCCCACGCCTGGTAGATGGGGGCCCGGGCTGTGCCCTGCAGCCAGCAAAGCCCCAAGAGAGTTGTGGGGCCGAGCTGCTCTCGGAGCCGCCCTACCCTTTCGGTGAGGCCGGAGACCCTCTCTCTCCATCTGAGGCTCAGCAGAGAGATTTCTAGGAGTGCCCGCACAGCCGCACCCCTAACTTAGAGCTGAGCAAACGTACAACAGGCACCCGGGGCAATCAGGCTGCTTCGGGAAGCGGGTGGCATCTCCCGACTAGAAAGGGCTCTTTTCCTAGGAGTGACAGTGGGAGTGTGGGTACCGGGAGGAGTTGGAAAGGGGGACACGCCAGCCCCAGGGGCGTTTGCGCCCCAGGGAGACTAGATCGAACGACCTGCTGGCGGTTGGCGCGCCCCTCCCTCCGCCCACCCGAGTCTCGGGATCTGTTGTGAGTTGCTGGGGCAACCGCAGGAGCTGCCAAGAGGGGTTTGCAGAACTCCTTACCTGGTTTGTGAGTTCAGCTTTCGGGGAAACCAACCATTGGGGGAGACTTGCAGGAAAAAGAATCACCCCCTCCCCCTAAAAGGAAGTGGAAGGAAGGCACGACTTTGTCAAAAATTATCATGAGGTCCTACTGACAGCTGCACCGTTTCCATCGCCAGCAGTATCAAACATCTCAACTGAGGAGCAATGTCAATATTTAGACTGGGACAAGCCAGAAAGTTAGAAGGGAGCGCCAAGCTCAAGGTTTTGACTTGGCTTTGCACGTCAGCACACAAGCTGTGCCTTTGGAGCTGACTGTACACATTTGCTGAGGGAGAAAAATGCATGAAGGTTGATACATATAGATATATATATATAGATATATATACAATATATATGATATGTATATATACCAACATTTATGTGTGTGTGTGTGGAGAGAGAGAGAGAAAGAGGGAGGCAGACCCCCAGATCCAGTAAGTTCAGACGAAAGTGGTGGTGCTGACTTTGGACTTCCCCAACTGGGGGTGTTCCGGAAACGCTGCTGAGCCCCCAGCACAAGCTCAGCTTGAGGTTTCACTGGTTGGGGGCGCTCACACCCCGACGCTTGTTGTGCTGCATCCTCTACACCAAACAGGTTCTAAACTACAAAGAAGCGGTAGTTATCAGTGGTTTTCCTCTTTGCAAGTTTGCTCACTTTCAGCAGACTGTGAAAAGTCAACAGGCTGTTTTTAGAAAAGTCTTGGGCTTCTCTAAGTATTGTATTTGTTTACAAACAGTATTTAGAAAGGAAATGAATATTTCATTTCCAGTAACCTTGGAGATACCTAAGAGAATCACTCGGTTGCCAGGAAATAACCACAAGCTCGTTTCTGTATAAATAACCGCTTCATATTGCTCCACAGGTGAACTGGATAGTAAATTATTTTGTTTTTATAAAAAGTTGCCACTGAGATTCCTACATTGTGTTTGGACCTGTTAGTGGGAAAGAGGTCCAGCCAGTTGATCCCAGTGTAGAAGGCTCTGAAAAAAAAAAAAAAATCAGGAGGCAGTGAAATCTCAGTCAGGATTCTAGACTTGCCCATTATTGTCATTTTTCCCAGATCTTGAAAGTGCTGTAAATTTTAAGCCTGGGGATGATTACGGAGGTGGAAAAAATTGTCAGGTTATTAGTACAATAATACAACTTTTTACCTTACAATTGTAACAGTAAGTCAGAGTTATTTGATTTTCTTATGCTTATATGGCCAAAAAAAAAAAATACTATTTGGGAAGAATATTGTGCCTACTTCCATGAATGCTGTATTCTGAAACGCCCTTAACGTTTTGGCTGTTGCACTCCAATAGTTAATAGCCAAAGGCTTTTTTTTCTGTATCATTCCCCAATGTTCATATATGTATTTTCATAAAAGCTGCAATATGCTACCCTAGCTATTTCAGCATATATTTGACCCAATCAAATGTCACTTCAATGCTGACACTAAGCCAAAGTCGAGTCAGTTTTTTACCCTTTCTTGGGAGGGTTGGGAAGAAGGGGGGAGGTGAGAAAAGAACATATGCTGAAATTTTTCCTGACTCCTACTGTGCTCCTGGCAGGCAGTGGGATTTATAAAGTATTTCTCTCTCTTATGTAGGTAAGTCCAGCCGTGAGCAGGGTGTTCTGTTCTTCGCTTCCAGCAAGCCAGGTCAGTGTCTTTCTTCATGACCACAGATTGATCACATCCTGTGTCTAATTTTGAGCATGTGTTTCAGAGCAGGTCTCTAAAATACTCAGCTATGATCACTACCAGTTCAGTCATTCTGTTTACATGTGAATACCGTCAAGCTAGAATTAGTGTGTCCTTTTAAGATTTCCATTTTAATTTGGTGATCAAGAAGTGCCAGACAGCCAAGGACACTGAGAACCTGGGTGCCCAATAATTGACGTTTCATTTTGATTCTGCTCTTGCCCTTCTGGAGCGGAAAGAAACGTAATACAATAATATATTCTTGGCTTTTACTGAGCATGAACCCCTGTTCCGGTCACATGCTGATTTCTTTACACTTATGTTCTGATTTCATCTCTAAAAAGAAAGTTCCTGGGAAGTGAGACCACTCTCTTGATCCCCAAACTAAGAGTGAGGAGTTAGAAAGTTCAAATAAGATGTGTTCATTTCTCACGTCTGTAAATGGCACAAGTGGGACTCTTTATGTTAAGTTTTGACTTAAGCTGAGACCTTAACTGCTGGTTGAAAAAGGTCTCCCCCAACAGGGAAACAAGCCATAAAAGCTTAAGTGACTAGCCTAAGTTAACTTTGTAGTTACAGCTCATATAAGTATGTCAAGGGATCAGCTGTTATAAAATCATAAATTCCATTCTCTTATGTAAAAACAGTGAAGTTAGTATTCATATATACTTTTTCATATGGCAATGTCAGAGATTAGAAACATTTACCATAAGTATTTTACAGATGTAAGGAGCAAGATATTAAGCATTCATGCGTGAGAAACTGGACAGTAAATAAAAATCATACATGCAAGAAGACTAGATTAGGGGTCAATGTACATTTATGAGAAAGGCAATATTTTCCACTGTGTGTGATTACTTTGGGATTCCATATATGCGTGGAGAGATCATTCCAAGCGCAGTTAGGTTTGGTTTGGTTTTTCAGTCTGGATAGATGATAAATGAGTGAGTCTTAGAGAAGACAGTGTACATTTCAATCCAATAGGGCAGAGTATGCACTCATTCAGAATCACTAAATTATGCTATCACAAACTCAAACACATGATTGCTTCAAAAGTAACAAAGTTGTATCCCAGTCTGCACAGTATCATTCAAAAGCATTATAATTTGGCATGATGCTTGCAAATACTGGATTTCTCCAGGAGCTCCAGTTTGTCAGAAAGGCACTCCTACATGGATTTGGGTAATGGCCAATATAAGAATCAGCCAGGTATTTTTTCATTTTTGCCTGAAATGACAGCCTTCTTTTCTCCATCCTCCATCGTCTTTGTGTAGATTTCTTCTTGGAGAGTTTTTCAGAAGAGGGGCTGCTTTAAAAAATGAAACAGAAGAACAAAATGCTTTAAAAAAACTTTAGAAACTGTGTTTTAATTATACCGATAACCCCATCTCAAGCTAGTAGCCCTAAAAGCCAGTTTAGTTAAGAGATAATCCCGTCTCATGATGCTTTTATTTATCTGTACTGTAACAGGTGTCTGTAGAGTGGATCAGCACAACATCTATCACATTCCATAAGAGCACTGTTGTTACTGTTAAGACATCCTTAAAGGCCAAGGACTTCACCATTAACTCTCATATGATTAGTTGTGATAATTACATGTCATAAAAACTAGTACAGCAGTCATAAACTTATAATTTATTAAAACAGTAAAATTACACCCTAAATCACATGATGTTAGAGACAAAGGAGGTCTTGAGATTGTATTTCTATTACTAATCACTTAATTAGCGACTATTTGCCACTTTTGGACTTCAGAAGGATTTGGTTACTATGTGTGACTTGCTTCTATAACAATAGCTAGAAGCATTTGAAATATGGTTCATTTTTGCTTGGGATATTTACTAGAATAAAGTGGGAGTTTTATAGCTTTTGATTGACCTTTATTTTAACAAGCAGTGAGTTCAGGTGCATCATCTAAAGGCCTCCCTCTAGAGGGTTTAACTCCTTAACAGAGTTTAAGGAGTACAGGGGATTTGAATCTGGATCTTGAGTTCTTTTCTCCACTGACTTTTCCCAATTACTCTCACAAAACAAAACCCCTTGGAATAGGAAGTAAAAACAAGTCTCAAAGAGTGTGTGGAGAGTATGAAAGTGGTCAGGAGTGGCCACAAGTGGGGATACTTTGGGTAGAGGCTGGAGGCAGTCAACTCCAATAGATGAGATGTTTACGATTATAGATTGGTTATTGATTTGTTTTTTGAGCAGGACCGGTTTGCTTCCTAGTTTGTAACTGAAATAAAAGCCACCTCCTTCTCTTCCTGACACCTTTTGTTTTTAACGTGCATAGATCTGAACTTAGGAGGCAAGCAAATAAGGATGTTGAAACTGAAAATTCGGTGTGACAGCTGCTCTTTTCTGTCCCTCCAGCTGTGCCCTCCAGTACTTCGATATGTCTCTGACTGGGTTTTGTTCATCACGGGATGAGTTAGCTGCATTTAGAAAGAAAGAGATGCCAGTTTGGCTAGAAGGAAACAATTTCATTTCTCCACTCTGCACCCGAGTTTATTTATTGCATGGTCACAGGTTAATGGCAAATTTCCAGTGTTAAGAAGGTTGTGCTCTTCAGCTGCATCCTACCGTAAAGAGATACCCTTTGAATTGTCACTTAACCTAAGACCAAACTCTTGTGATTTCAGCAATAACAATAACCAACAGTCACTACGCCTCTATGTCCTGGACGCCGCTAGTAAGTTACAGCTGCTACTTTACTAACAATTCCAAGTTGACATAGACAAAGCATAGAATATATAGGTGTTAAGTTCATGAACTTATAGAAAACAGAGCTTGGACTTGCACCCAGGTCTAAAATATTCAAGAACTTGAATCTACGTTTATTCTAAATAAATGCCCCGGGGATAGGTGGACTTCAAGTCACTTTATTACAGATGATTCTTTTTGCTTATGGATTTATTTGTTTATATAACCTGAATGGCATAGCAGTCTTGCACAGAAATATATGCTAGTTCTTGAGATCATTTCTAATCTATTCTGGCACAAATCACAATGTTAAACAGATGAGTTAAAGAAAGTTGAATTATGGCGTCAGGAGAATCCGTGGGGATCCTTGCTACAGACTTACACAGGTGAGAAACTTGGGCACTCAGAGGAGCAATGTAATTTGACTGCTTTCATAGTTAATAAGTGACATTGCCTGAACTGAACCCAGATTTCCAGATCCCAGCTCAGGCTCAATGCCATTACATAACGCAGCCTGAAAAGTGCTAAGTTGCTTAAGCCCTCCCACCTAACCTAAATTATGACTGGCATGTATGAAATGCTTCCAAAAGCTAAGGCACATCAAGAAATGGGTGATAAGGAGATTCCAGCATTGTTAAAGATAGAGTGGGTACTAGAAGAAACTTCAGTTATCTTCCGTGGTGCAAAGATATAACAGTCCTTTTTTTCTTATTGAAAATACAGCTCTCCTCTGATTTGGGCCTAAGGCATCTTTGTTATGCTATCAATGTGGGGCTTCTTAATTTTTTCCCAACTCTGGCTTTTTACTACCTGGATGAAATATGTTTTTGGACTTCACTTTGATCATCTGTAAAGTGGGAGTAGTATCATCTCCCCTAGAGGATTATGAGGATTTTACAAAACCACACATATAAAACCCATAATAGGTGATCAGTGAAGAGCTAGCTCTATTCTTGTCCGTGTTAGAATATCCCAAAACAAAGTGTCATAAAACATTAGAGTGGTCGTGTTATTTTGACATCAAATGCACTAGAGTCAGTTGAATTTTGATAAGATGATTGTTATAAGAACCCTAATTCCTAGGTTAAAAAGGAAACAAAATCAGACCCAGACATCTCTGAGAACAGATGTACTTCACAATGTAAGGTTGCCAGAGTTGGCTGCAGCGACTTTATTGCTTTAGTTTCTGCCACACGTTACATCCAGGCCTGTATGGAGTCCTGTTGCTCAGAGTGTCTTTGAGATATTGTCTCTAACTTGATTCTACATAGACTCTTTCCGTCCAAAGCAACTCTTAGATTTTCAGCCAAGTAAATAAGAAATATTTACAGAGAATATTATTGCCAGTAGAAAGCTTTTGCTTTTCGTTGCAAAGCATTTGAGACTTTCTCAGGTTTGTCTCAGTTACATTCTAGTTTTGACTACTCGTGGAGCAGGTGGGAAGATGGAGTGCTGGCCTTGCCTTTTTCTTGTGTCGTACGTTACTGACTGAAGTATTGGTCAGAACAACATAAACACTACAATTTGTCCCTTTTGCCCTCAGCGCTTGATAACGACCCTGGCCTAAATTGCAGCTCTGGGTTTGGTAACACTCTTCTGCTCAGCTGCCACACTTTATCATGTGGTTCTTGATGCCCTGCTGGGATTTTTGGAATGAAGTCTTTGGCAACATGTCCTATTCATCATATGCCGAGATAAAGACAACTATTCTGAGTTTTTCATACTTGTACCTGATTTTCCTTTTTCCCTTATTAATTCAGGAACCCTCAAATAGAATTCATTTTCCTGGTGACACAGTTTCCCTTTAGTATTTGGCAAATATTCAAATACATTGCAAGGTTGAGTGCCCTTTTCTTCAAGTTGTCTCCAGTGCTGCGAAGTGATTTGTCTCGGGCTAGAAACTTAGAAACCAGCGATCGCTAAATGTGTCCCTGACCTTAATACTACTCTCAAATGGATGATAAAGAAATTTCAGTTCCTACCAAAGAGTTATTTTTAAGGCAGTGCCTGAACTTTTATGCACACACAATGATAACAGGCATCTTGTTAAAATGCAGGTTCTACTGTAGGAGTTCTGGGGGGCTGAGATGAGGCTTTTTTGACATGCATCCCTTTGAAGCCGGTGCTGCTGTTGTGAGAACCACCCTGTAAGTGGTAAGCTTCTAAGATACAGCCTTGATTCTATCTTACACAAAAATGTGTTTTTCATAGGCAGTAATCAACCTGCTGTCTCATTTTGTTGACTTCTTAAATTATAGGAG